TTATTTATTTTGTTCTCATTAACATTCAATTACATGAGCAACATTGTGGTTACTAGATTCCCCCCATTATCAAGTCCACACTAATACCCCACTGCAGTCACTGTCCATCAGCATAGTAAGGCACTATAGAATCACTACTTGTCTTCTCTGTGCTATACAGCCTTCTCCGTGCCCCCACACTATATTACGTATGCTAATCGTAATGCCTCTTGTTCCCTTTATCCCTCCCTTCCCACCCATCCTCCCCAGTCCCTTTCCCTTTGGTAACTTTTAGCCTGTTCTTGGGTTCTGTGAGTCTGCTGATGTTTTGTTCATTCAGTTTTTGCTTTGTTCTTATACTCCACAGATGAGTGAAATCATTTGATACTTGTCTTTCTCCACCTGACTTATTTCACTGAGCATAATACCCTCTAGCTCCATCCCTGTAGTTGCAAATGGTAGGATTTGTTTTCTTCTTATTGCTGAATAATATTCCATTGCGTATATGTACCACATCTTCTTTATCCATTCATCTACTGATGGACGCTTACGTTGCTTCCATTTCTTGGCTATTGTAAATAGTGCTGCAATAAACATAGGGGTGCATATGTCTTTTTCAATCTGGGACCCTGCATTCTTAGGGTAAATTCCTAGAAGTGGATTTCCTGGAAATACCCAAATGGTATTTCTATTTTTAGTTTTTTGAGGAACCTCCATACTGCTTTCCACAATGGTTGAGCTAGTGTACATTCCCACCAGCAGTGTGGAGCAGGGTTCCCCTTTCTCCACATCTTCAGCAGCATTTGTTGTTCCTATTCTTTTCTATGTTGGTTATCCTAACTTGTATGAGGTTATATCTCATTGTTGTTTTAATTTGCATTTGTTTGATGACTAGCGATATGGAGCATCTTTTTATGTGCCTGTTGGCCATCTGAATTTCTTCTTTGGAGAATTGTCTGTTTAGATACTCTGCCCATTTTTTAATTGGATTATTTGCTTTTTGTTTGTTGAGGTGTGTGAGCTCTTTATTTTGGATGTAAACCCCTTATCGGCTATGTCATTTATGAATATATTCTTCCATATGGTAGGATGCCTTTTTGTTCTGCTGATGGTGTCCTTTGGTGTACAGAAGCTTTTTAGTTTGATATAGTCCCACTTGTTAATTTTTGCTTTTGTTTCCCTTGCCAGTGGAGATATGTTCATGAAGAAGTTTTTATGTTTATATTCAAGAGAGTTTTGCCTGTGTTTTCTTCTAAGAGTTTTATGGTTTCATGACTTACATTCAGGTCTTTGATCCATTTGAGTTTACTTTTGTTATGGAGTTAGACAGTAATCCAGTTTCATTGTCTTACATGTAGCTCTCCAGTTTTGACCACTCCAGCTGTTGAAGAGGCTGTCATTTTCCCCATTGTATATCCATGGCTCATTCATCGTATATTAATTGACCATATATGCTTGGGTTTATGTCTGGACCGTCTTTTCTGTTCCACTGGTCTGTGGGTCTGTTCTTGTGCCAGTACCAAATTGTCTTGATTACTGTGGCTTTGTAGTTGGGCTTGAAGTTGGGAAGCGAGATCCCACCTGCTTTATTCTTCCTTCTGATTTCTTTGACTATTCGGAGTCTTTTTAATATATATATTTTTTAAAATAAAAATTTTAAATAAACACATGTACAAAATTAATATATGTATAAACATGTATTAAAAATCAAAGACAACTGAAGGATGAAAAAAATCTGCCTCCTGTCCTGTTCCTGTGTTCCGGGCATCTACTTTTCTCAGAGTAAACAGTATTGGTGTATTTAAGCATATATGCAAATATTTTAAAAACTCAAATCAGAGTTTACTGCCCTTTGCTTTATATTTAGTTTTATAAACCTTATTCCATATCATCACTTTTAGAGCCACTTCATTCTTTTTGACAACTGCCTGATATTCCATTCCTTGAACATACTTTGCTGTATTTAAACAGACCATCATAGACTGACATTTAAATTGTTCCCAGGTTTTTTCTTTGGATTATATTTAGGTTGTATTTAGATTTGATTATGTTTAGAGTATATTATATGATGTATTTCAAAGAACTATTTTCAAATGGCTTCATTTCTTAGATGTAAGGAAATATTTCACAAAAACCTGGGAAATTGGAGTTTAGTTTTAAAAAGAATATTTTCCTGTCTAAAAGGAAGGCTTATACCTTCCTTGTTTTCCTTTATGAATTTCAATCTGGTGACTTTTGATTTTCAGCAAGTATTCATTAAAGTTTTCTGTAGTTTGTGATTAGGTTAGAATAAACAGATAAGATTATTCATGTCTTTAGGAGTATATGGCTGACAGACTAGAATTTATTTGTAGAAACAACTTTCAACATGAAATGTTAATTCCATGATTACCACATACTTGTAAAAATGTTGAAAAGAATAGAAAGAATTACAAATAAGTTTAGGGATGGTAATAGAGTGGTAGGAAAATTAACAACTTTTAAATCTTGGTAAGAAAGAATAGGTGTGATAGCTAATTCTTTGCTGGTGCATGAGGAGACAGCATAGTACTAATAGTTTACCTGTCAGCCTTTTGCCTCTTCTCTGGCAAAGGTTTTGAAGTTCTTTTAGACTCTATCTATGTCTAAAAATATCCCTATTTGTAAATGTGTAGCTGGTGACTCTGAAATTTCATTTGGAGTTCGTTTTGAGAATTAAATAACTTATATTGGTCATTCCTTTTTTTAAAACAGCTTTATTGAGATATAATTCATATACCATATACCATAAAAAAAAATCCTCAGAAACCATAGTTCTTTAGGTTAGTGTTTGAGATTGTTTCTGAGCCTGGTTAGGGTTCTCTGTACTGCCTGTGTCTCCAGTAGGTTTACTGTGTAGACCAGGCAAACCTTGTTGGCCTACAGTGTTGCCTGTATCTCCAATAAATGTACCTGTGTCCTCCTAATTGCCTTTTTTTTTAAAGCACATCTTCCTCTGTTTTCAAGAATGGTTCTTAGCTTGAACTTCTCCATACGCTGTTGCAGATAATTTTCTTTGGAAAGAAACTAGCAAGTGTTTTATGGCTGTGGAGGTTGGACTTGGGTACAGGAAACAATTTGCATGCTCTTCTCTGAGGACATCCCTGCCTTAGTAGCTGAGTACTGAGGGGAAGGGAAGTAGGTCTTCTTGGTCTGTTTCTTCCAGTGGGATACTAGCCCTTTACAAGCCATGGCAAGGGTGATTGGGACCTCACTATCAGTGCACCACTCATAGAGCCTCTGCCCCACCAGTTAAGGCCACATGCAACAAGTGAAGCACTCCTCCCCTGCCCCCATGCTTGCCTGGAACATAGCCTCAGGAAAAGGTCGGTAGTTGAGAACTATTATATGGAATAAGATCAAAGGTTTTTCCAAAATTAAGAAAGTCTTTATGTTTGTGTCAAAGAGAAAGGAAAACATATGTCCACACAAAAATCTGTGCATGTGTATTTATAGTGGAACTTTTATCCCCCATCTCCTGACCTCTGGGGAGGGGAGAGGAGCTAGACTTTGAATTAATCACCAATGGCCAGTGATTTAATTGATCATACCTATGTGACAAAGCCTCCATAAAAATCTCTAAAATATGGCTTTCAGAGAGCTTCTGGTTTGGCGAATACATGGAAGTCGTCCTGGTAGGGTAGTGCGTCTGGAGGGGGCATGGAAACTCTGCACCCCTTCCTCCATACTTTGTGCTATGCCTCACTTCCATCTGCCTATTCCTGAGTTGTATCCTTTCATAATAAACAGGTGATTTAGTATAAAAAAATTAAGCACAAAACCAAATGTCCGTCAACTGATGAACATATAAACAAAATGAGTTATACCGTACAGTGGTGTATAATATTGGGCAGTTAAAAAGGAATGAATTCCTAATGGCTGCTACAGCAGGGATGAACCTTGAAAGCATGCATCATTGAAATGAAAAGTCACTTACAAAAGGCCATGTATTGTAAGATTCCGTTTATATGCAGTGTCCAGAATATGCTATGAACATATTTTAATCTAATTTAATTTTCTTTTTATGGACTCACAGTAGTGTTTCATCTTGTATTATATATTGACATTTTAGGTATATTATACACTTATTAGAAGCTTTGATTTCTGTGATAGTTTTAGTTCGTTTCTAGTGTTGTAGTTAACTTCTATAATTTCAAAGATTTCCCTTTTTCTTTGCTCTTTCCTTCATGATTAAGAAAATTTTATAGTATTAATAGTGACATATACTTATCAGAAACCACTGATTTGAAAAGCTTGGCTTTGTGAATACAATTGTTTTTAACCATATCCTTTAAAATATTTTAACATGACTGTTTAGATCATGTAGTTATATTTATCTTGTTTTTTTTCCTCTGATTTGTTCCCTTCTCTTCCATGTGAAAAATAAAAGAACATTTGTTTCATTGGTGGTCCTATTGCTAGATATTTAGGATAACCACTTTGTCTCTGAAATATCTTTTTCTGTGTCTTACAAGGCATCTCATCTCAGTATTGCCTTTGTCTTTCCTTTGTATGTCTTCTTAGGAAAAAAAGGCAAGAAATAGTCCCTGTAATTTCTTCTGTCATCTTCAGTTCTCTTGAAAGGTTAGGTTCCTTTTGCCCCAATATATTGTTCTCACAGTAAAAATAGACACAAATATCAAAATATACTTTTGTCAGAATGCATGTGAGATATAAAAACTTGCTGCTTTTCAAATTTTTTTCTTTTAGTAAGTTGTAATGCTTTAAAAACTATTTAAAAGTAACCTTGGAGAAAGCTTACCTTAAAAATGTTTTAAAATAATTTCTATATAACTAGAAAAATGTATTCTAAAAACTTTTGTTTTTTTTAAATAAATTATAAAATTTGCTTAGTTGTTTTTCTAAAATGACTTGAGTAGTAATTATTCCCCTCAGAGGATAGATTAAATACAAATTGGATAGAATAAATAGATAAAATAGATATAAATATGACTTAGATTATTGGCATGTGATATATTGGATTATTCCCCCTTCTTTTTCAGGAACTCTTGGTGTGATAACAGAAGCTACAATAAAAATCAGACCAGTCCCTGAATACCAAAAGTATGGCTCAGTAGCTTTCCCTAATTTTGAACAAGGAGTAGCCTGTTTAAGAGAAATTGCAAAACAGGTAAAAAAAAAAAAAAAGACCCACCCATCTATATTTATATTTTTAAAATTCTACTGCATTATTGATTTTGGTATGTCACATATAATCTTCATATTTAGTTGTGTTAATATTTGTGGGTTTTACCCAGTTCTATTATGAAAAGGTAATGTAAAATCATCCCTGTAAGTGTAGTTGCTGTTTCTTTCAGTAATTACATAGAGCTATTTCTTGGTTTAAAGAGTGCTGTATGATTTTAAGCTAAGGTAAGATATGTACTTGCTTTGGTGGCTTTGAATGATTATGCCTTTTACTGAATGTGATGTTTTCTTAAGGTATTTTTGTTAAGGTATTTGTGATTAATTGAAGTAATATTTAAGTTTTCTTAAGACATTTATTGAAATTAAAGTAAATGACTGGCTATAAATCACCCCAAATTTAGATACTAAATAATAGGTAATTAACCTTTATCAGTATTTAGAATGTGCTGCTACTAAGTCCTAATTTGTTTTATAATACTATCTAAGCCATAGCTTACATTAAGTAATAAATATAGTATAGCCTAATATACCATAAAATATTTAGCTATAAGCTAAAAAGAATTCCCATTTTCTCCCCCCTTCAAAAAAAAAGATAAAGAGTGTATTATTGAGGGTTTTTAAAAGACTAGATAATGACAAGAATTTTATTTCTGGTTTAGTTCTGTGTATCACTGGAAAATTTTTTCTATTTCTTTAGGCATTTGGTTCATTATTTCAATTATAATGGTTTATGAGAAATTGCTACTTCATTATTTCCCTGCAGGGAGGATGTGAAAAGAAATACTCCAACCTCTTTCCTCATGTTTTTTCCAAATTCCTAGAACTCTGTAGTACTTCCGATCAGCAATATTAGCTAGAATATCGAGGGCAAGGGAGCTTTCTGATGTGACCATACAGGTCAGCTGTCAGATACACAGAGCAGATTGGAGGGCAGATCTGACGCAGCAAAAGAAGGGCATCTAGTAAGTACTCCCTATTCACTGTGGGCTTTTAAGGTCCTGAAATGGAAAGTAGTGAAGAGGCTTATCTTCCTGCCAGCCCAAGACAACCACTATTGTTTTAAAGAAATCCAAAATGAGCAAAAAGATTTTTGTATTTACCATTTCCAGTGTTCTTTATCTCATACACAGTTTTGCTTTCTGAAACACTCATTCTTTCTGACAAGTTTTCCCACTTTCAGTAAGTCCTCCTATAAAGTCACCCAATTAATCTAACAAGTGATGAAGTGATGAAGATAGTGTTTTTTTTGAAGATAGTTTTTATAATTTCCAAGTAACTTCAATTATTTATCAATTCGATTGCTTCCTCTGTCAAGACTTAGCCATCAGCTCCTTAATCTTGATTGTCTTACTCCAGGGTTGGGGGAGAGTTCTTTTAAAAGAAGTATAGTCCTGGAATGAATATTATTGAACTTGTCGCAGGTTACTTTAGTTGTATTAATGCAGAAGGAAGTGTTAATAGTTGAAGTCCTTACGTAGGAGCTCCTAATTCACTACAACTTTGGGGACATTATGTTATGGTTAGAGAGCTAGAATATATAGTAAGTATTATGCTGTGTTTGCTAAAATAATGAGTTGGCAATGGTATGTGAAGGCAGGATTATTGAATAAAGGAAGAGTGGAGTTAAGTTTTAGGAATAAATAGTATTTGTTATTCTAAAATAACATCTGAGCACTGAGCAGTACAATCCAAGTTGTTGCTAAAACCTTCCATGACTTAAAAGCAAAGGAAAGTAATTTAAATTTAAGGTGCTACAGGTTATTAAGAATAAAATAAGTACTTAAAGAGCCTATGGTTTTGCCTGGGGTTTTTGTTTGTATAGAAAATAATAAGTTCACCAATTAAAAATCAAAACAAAACCATTTTCCTTAGATAGCTTATATTTCTTTGTTAATTTCAGATCTTCCTTAATGAGTGATTTTTAAAAAATTTAAGTGTTTTCAATTTGTATTGTAATTCATTCTTTGTGTTAAATATTTTTATTTTTATTTACTTTCCATCTTTGTCAAGCTTGACTACCCCCCAATAAAAAAGCTTTATTATTAAAAATATAGTTCATGTTATTTCTCTTGTTCATTTTGAATGACATCTTTTTAATTGGCCATTATTGCCTGCATTTTTAATGGCAAAATAAACGTGAATGCCAAATTAGATATTTAAAAATACTACAGACTATAAAACTAGCCTGATTTGTATGTATTTTCACCAGAAGATCTTTAGAAGGCCATGATCTGTCAGTGTTGGCCAACTTTGTCCCTCCACTGCAGAACACAGATTTAGCAGACCTATTTAAAAAGTGTTACATGATCTTTGGACTAGAGGTAGACATTTTATGCCTTCCTGACTGCTCCATCTGCTTTTTCTACATTGCAAATACTCACATGTAAATATATCTTAGGTTTCATGTATTACATAAAAATGAATCAAAACCCTAAATTCATAATTTCATTTAAGTGGAAATATGTTGACTTTAAACACAGTTGCTACAACCTGATTCAGTTTTTGTTGTAATTTAAAATGCTCCTGATTGAAACTAACAGAGAAGAGTTAAATGCTGATGAAATGCAGGGGGTGAAATTTTCCTTATCCTTGGATGTCAGTAAAAATTGACCTTTTCTTTGTTTAAAAAAATTCTTTGGATATTCACCTGATGACCATAATGTAAATATGCCACACAAAATTATATTGGATATATATCTGGGAATAAATAAAGGTGATGATTGATAAAAAGTGTCCTTCTATGTTTAAAAAGAAGATCAAAAAGAAAGCTCCTTTCTAATCTATGGTTTTAATAGTTTAGTTCTGTATACTTAGTAATTGACATAAATACCATATAACTAGAAAGCTTGCCTTACTTGAAACTCATTAAAAAGCCTGGATAGATACTATTTTATTCTCAAATATTGCTCTTATGAATGAAACTATTGCCAAAAACAACTACTGGAATTTGAAGATAGTCTGCTTTGGGGAACCTACTTATTTTACTCCTTTTATAATGCACATGCAGAGAGGCATTAATGTTTACCTTTCCTGGAAATGGTAAATGCTAGTATTATAGTGTAGTACATTTATATATTAGTTTACAGATTTAGCTCATACATCAGGAATGGTATTATTTGTGCTCTCCTGCTTTATAAACAGTATTTGCAGGCAGAAAAAAAATTGAGAAAATTATCAGGTTTTTGCACTAGTCATTGTTCAATTTACAATTTGGAATTTCAGCTGATAACATAATTAAGATCCATTGAAACAGATGGTGCGTGCTTTATGATCATGCAGAATTCTTGATTGAATAATGAGCTGGCTGCTCAGAATACCTCATTGTCATTTCATGGAACTTCCATTTTTGCAATGTTTTCAGAGTCAAGTTGCATTTGAAATGGGAAAATGTATACCTTTTGGAAAGGAGTATACTGATTATTCCCAAATAGTCAAATGGGCTGTGTATATTTTCATCACTAAGTCTTACTGAAGGAGATAAATTAAGCAACCTTAAACTGGCAGCAGAGGGATTCTAAGGTTTCTTATCTGATCTTTGTCCATTGAGGAATTGTCCTTTTTCAATACTTCTCTGCCTCGTGAAGAATTAGAAAGGAAGATTTAGTGGAAGATTAATGTGACTCTGTCCTATAAGTGGCAGTCCAGTATAATATCCAACTCGGTAGATGGGTAAATGACTTTTAAGACTTCCTCAGAATGTAGACTTTTCACCATTTTCTCTCAAGAAGGAGAAAAATAGTGTTTTTTAATCAGAGTATTGGTATCTGATAAAATATTTTACTGTGTGTTTGTTTAAAAATGACAGTGATGTCTTTAAAGGTTTAAAGGGACAACAGTACTGAAACAGGCTCAGAAGCAACTTTTGAAGTTTGGTTTTTTTTTCTCCCCAATACAAACTTAGGAGTTATGCCAGACGGTATTGGGAAAGGACCATTTATTTCTGTTAAGAGGAAACACTGACTGTATGTGTGACACAGATTAGTATGCATTTCTCTGAAAACTGACTTTTTCAGTATCAAAAGTAGGTTTTTAGAATTACAGATTAAAAAAAGCAGCCTTTTTCCTCACTACCTTTGCCGAGGGATAGCCCTTTCTCTCTCTCATCACTTTTATTTTAAATAGTGTTAAACTGATAGGGTGTTATTTTTCCAGTGAGTTTAGACCATAATTTGGGAAGAAATACATAGTTCATATTTGACATCTCAGAATGTTATATCTTAATTCTGATTTGTTCTGTTTTAAACTTGATTTTTTCCTGGAGGAGTTCAAATAAACTGGAGTCAGGTTTAGCACATTGTAAAACATTTAAAACTTCTTTCTATTCAGCAGTAATTCTTGGAAATAATTCATCACATATAGAAAATGTTATTGTTATTTTAAACCTTTTTTTGTCTTGAAAGCTTTTTAAAAATCATTTTTGAAGTTGAAGTACATACAGTAAAATGCACTAATCTTAGCATACAGCTCAATGAATTTTGACATGTGTGTACACTTGTATGTAACCATTCCCCAGATCAAGATATCAAACATTCTCACTAATTTTTCCCCCTTTACCTTTTTCACCCATCCTCACGTTCTCACAATCATTTTGTGTGTGTGTGTGTGTGTGTTTCCCTCTGAGCAGAGAGAATAACTTAGCCACATATTTGGTTAATTGGATTCTTTACCATGTGGTCCAGCAAAATGTATTAAACTTGAGGACAGTTGCAAGATAAACTCTTGACTAGGAGCTACTCAGAACAAGTCTTTACACCTTTACTAAATTGAAAAATGTAAAATTATGGTCTACAGACTGTTTGGCATTAACTTTTGGCACTTTCCTTTACACATGCATGGAACAGAGTATTTACTCTATAGTATATATTATTTCATTTTTTGAAACTAAGAGTTAATTCTCTTTTTAAAACAGTTGTTTACAGTGTACACTCCTAGCTCTAAGCCAGTATGTCATTTCCAATAAGACTAAGCAGTTATACTAATAGCCTTAAATATTATAAGAGTTCATCTGTCATATCAACTCTGATTTATTAGTTAAGTGAAGAACTCATCTGTCTATATTTAAAATTTTTATATCTAGAAATTTGCATTTAACAGAATTCTCTTCTTTCACATATTCAATTTTGAACTTTTTAAAATTTATTTTATTGTGTGTCTTTTATGTGAGATTGTATGCTTTTAACTTTATATCCAATGTAATGCAGTGGATATTCTATGAGCTGAATAGATAGACATCGTTCCTGTCTTCTAGTAACCACTAAGGATATTGTCATATGTTTTTAAATTTTTATATAACTAGGTACAAGGGGTTTAGCATTGAAGCATTGACTTCTGATGTAGTGTGAGATGAGTAAACTATCTCAGTGCTCAGGAACTTGGGCTGTTCTAGAGCCTACACAGGAAGTTTGATTTACTCCTTGAAGAAACACATCTTTTCAATTCAGAGACAATTATTTTCTCAACCAAGATACCGAAGCTGCAGGACTACCATACAGTGCTTATATTTTATAGTTTGTCCTTATGAAATTAGAATAATAGAAATCCTATAGATATTTAAAATGCTAATATTGAATTTATTTTGCTAGTAACTAGTAAATTAAGAGACACCTTCTTGAATGTGTCTCATCTGAAGTGCAAATTCTGGTTTTTCTCCGTGACAAGAGATATGGACTTAGCTCCATAAAAACAAATTTTGCTGACATTTTTTGGTTTGTTTCTTATAGGGACAATTTTTGGAGAAAATGCTTGGATTGAGAAATATTTTGCTTTTTAAGTTAGTGCAGAGAATTCTTTTAAGTAAATAAGACTAATCAGAGTAGTTGTTCATCTTTCAGGTTCTATATTAAATTCCTGGTTGTAAAAACATCGTTTAAAGGGAAGAAATTGCCAGCAGTTTGCCTCAGTCTGTTTTATACCTGTGCTTTGAGGTCAATATGGTTATTTCTTCTTTGCTCTGATAAAACAAAGATAATTGATATTTCTTTATTATTCTGTAATGAGCTTATTTTTTCAGACTATTTTTGATGTATAAAGTATACTTAGGTACAAGTCATATGACATGAGAGATTCTGCTAAAGGTGCATTTATCATAAGAAAGAAAGAAATTATTTCATTAACTCCAGTTCAAATAAGCAATTTCTGTTTGAGTGTTCCTTAAATTCCCTGAATGTGTATGATTAACCTACCATTAAAATTACTTGGTAAAAATATTCCCTCTCGGGTTAATTCTGAACACTTACCACCAGGGGTCACTTTAACTTAAGGACCCTTTTCCCCCTTTCCTCATTTATGAACCACTCCTACCTTTGCATAATGAATAACATGGGAGTGAATTTAGAGCTCAAATTCTCAGAATTTGTGATTTCTCTAACTTTTAAAGGGAATATTTTTATTTTTTTAAACCTACCAAATTAGTTTTATATCAATTGAAACATATCTTAGCAATAGGTAAAGTAACTCAGATTGAATGTTGTTTTTTAAATATAGTAACATTATTATTTTTTTTATTATAGGGTCGTCTTTTAACAAAAATTTCAAGAAACTTCTCTTTGTATTTTTAGAATGATACACAGTGATTCACAAATTTATCAGTTGCCTGAGGATCATAAAGCAGTTTAGATGCTGTTTTTGACTGAGATGTTTTAATTTGAGATACTTCATGAGAATTTGCTTGTGACAATAACCAAGATTCCATTTACTGACTTTTTAAAAAATGTACTTTTAAAACACGAGATTTAATAAAGTCGTTGGTTTGATTTTGATGTTTAAAAAGTTAGTATTGAAAACTTGTCTAATATTTATTATCTAGATATGAAAAACTTTTTTTAGCTTTTTAATTATTTATTTGACAGTATTAGTTTGTAACCATCTACTTTGCATAAATAGGGACAGTGTATGACTGACTGGTTTATGTGACTTATGTTGAATTAAAATCACATTCAGTATAATTGAATATCAGTTACTTTATGTAGGAAATGCTCAAAACTTTTAAAATTATTTTTCTACTTTTTAACTTAAAAGTTTAAACATACAGAAACTTTGAAAGAATAGTACAGTGATCACTTGTATATTCAATAATTGTTGACTTTTTGCTGTTTGTTTTATATGTTTGTGTATATATTTTCTGTACCATTTGAAATTAAGTTGCAGACATCATGACACTTGACCTATAAATACTTAAGCCTAAAAATAAGATAAAAATAATCCTAAAAATAAGATGTTTTTCTTTATGACCACAATCTATAGTCCTGTCTGAAAATCAGCAGTAATTTCTTAATGCCATCTAGTATTCATCCTATCATCAGACTATATTAGTTGTCCCCAGGATGTATTTTGTGATAGTCTTTTCAAACCAAGATTTTGTCACGGCCTGCATATTGTATTTTAGTTGCTTCAGAGATTGAATTCTAGAAATTTACTATGCTAAATATAATATTCTCTTCTCCAATTTTCTGTTACATGTGTGTCTATGTTGCTTGTTTTCATTTATAGCCCCTGCTGTAGGTACAAGTGAACTACCGTTGTGTGGTAGTGGGAGATCAAGTTTACAAGTTGTTAGTAGGAATTTAAATGTTTTTAATGTTTTTTTCCCTTAAAATGACAGAATGTCTCTGAATTCTCTCTCATATTTTACTGGTGTGCTTAGGCCAAAACATAAATATATATGTTATATCCTATTTATTTTTTGAAGAAAAGAAACTTGGTCTAATCAGGCTTCATATGTTTTATTAGAAGTTGTTATGTCTGTTTTAAAAAAATATTTCAGGGAAACTGATTTTCCTTTAGTATTTTGGAAGCTGGTAACATTTTTCAAAGCATTAAGCCAACTACAAAGATACCTCCAGACCAAGATTTGAAATTACTCAGGTTGTAGATTTTTTTTATTTTATAACTATTTTACTTTTAGTAAAACCACAAATTAGCAAGTACAGTAGTTTTCACGTGATTTTGTTTCAGATATGACTTTAAAGCTGTGTATATGTGATTTTTTTTTTTTTTTTTAGAGACTGTGTGATATATTTGAAATATTGATCATTTAGCAATCAGGATATCTTGGTTCCAGTTCTCTCTTTACTATTTAACAGTCATCTGATCTCAAGCAAGTTTTTATCTTTTAGCCTCTCTGGTTCTTTTGTCCTCATTTGTAAAATGGGGATAATACCAGTTATGCTACCCTGATAGTGTTATTTCTTATATTAAATAAAGATATAATGAAAATAGCTTGGACACCATAAGATTATATAAAATGTAAGGCAGTAGGTTATTGTATGCTTTGTATATGAAATTACCTAAAACTGTTTCTGTAGATTTGGCAGTGACTTTTCTAAAAATATAGACTGAGTTATCTCACCTTTTGTATCAAAGGTGAGCCAAATACATTGTATAGTGTTCCAAATATAAATCTAATCATTTTGTTGAATGAAATGAAATGTGAGAGTGGTTTTATAAAATTAACTATTTGTTCAATTAAAAGCAAATAATAGCAAAAATGTTATATAACACAGTTAAGATTTAAGATATATATTGTTCTTTTGCATGATCTCATAAATCTCAACATTATGTGGATGCAAATGTTATTGATAAATGTTATTACTCAGGATAAATGTTTAAAAAGTTTGTGGCAGTCAAAATTTTGTGGTCTAAAAATCTCTTGGTAGACATTAAACCATGTTAGAAATATGCATAGAAGATAAAAATTCCATTTAGGGTGCATCTTCACTTTAATTCTGTGGAAAAATTGTGGTTAACTTAACCATTGCTAGTGTTTATATTGTGTTTTAGCAGCACAAAGGTAATGGGAGTATCTGCTTTCCTTGCAGCCTTTAGTGTGTGCCTAGATAAATGCAGCACTGATGAAGTTAGGTGTTTTAGATATATAATGTTAGGCTTCAGAAGTTTTGTTGCTATTTTCATACAGTTAACCTTGAAGGTCTTAGAATTCTGGACACTGAGTTTTTCTATTTAAAATGGATTATGAGAAGGGATAGAAAGAACAATTCCCAGAGTTGTCTATGAAGGTATTGCAGATTAATTTTTAAAGGGTTCTGGCTCACAAAAATTCCATTATCCTTTTCCTTATTTTAAAAGTGTGTTAAGAACCTAGCGATGTATTGTAGTTCATAAATGGCATAATGCTCTCGGCATTGTTTTTAGTCTTGAAAATTTTTGCTTTGTCCCAAAAAATATCCACTTTGGGGCCTAATACTTCTTTTAGGTATTTTCATAAGTCTTTACTAAGCATTAAGCAGATTTGGTTACAGATAAGTTAAAGATCTGGCAACACATGTACGTATTATATGCGGAGATCTCTCCCCTCCAATATTTTAGAGGCCACTGTTGTTTTATTTGTCATCATAAAATTATATAGAAGTTTAGATTTTTTCCCCCTGTATTTAACCTTAGGAATTATGCTCTTAATGTCAAACAGGGAAAGATGACATTTATATCCTCCTACCTATCTAACTTCTTTATCATATCAAATGTGTGTCACTTTTTTTCTCCTTTTTAAAACAGAGATGTGCTCCTGCATCTATTCGCCTCATGGACAACCAGCAGTTTCATTTTGGTAAGGAGTGGTATTTTAAAAATCTTCTCATAAAGCTACAAGATGTTTATGTGCCAGGAAGAGTATTGGATGCAGAGCTCAGGAGAAGAATGTAGTTCCTGCCCTTTGGGAAGTTCTCAGTTTAATGAAGACAGACAATTATGTGACTGAAGGCGAGCAGGAGTGGAAGTTGAAGTGGCAACTCTGGGAGGCTTCTTCAAGGGGAGTGATGCTTAAGCTAAATTTTAAATGGTGTAGAGAAGTTAACTTGAGATGGTCTCTTCTCTCCTGCCAGATTTGTTCACTTATCAGCAAAAATATGAAATTGTAAAATCTCAATGTCATGTTTGTACTTCAAAAAATTTTGTGTGCCTTCAATAGCAGGTAGAGAAAGAGTTGTTAGATAAATCTGGATGGGTGGATTGTCAGGATAGATTTGGATTTTATCTTTCAACAGATATTCTTTGTAAAAAGAATAAAATAAATGAGCTTTGCATTTTAGAAAGCTTAGAATGGTGCAAGCACGCTGGAGCTGAAATGGTTCAAGAGGCAAAATTTTAGGGACCTTGACCAAGGCAGCAGCAGTGGAGATAGAGAATAAGGGAGAGGTTTTCCAAAGATCAGTTTGCCAATTGGATGTGGAAGGTTAAATAAAGGGAAGAGTTGAGGGCAACTGCTGGATTTCTGATTTAATTGGCTGGGTGCATTGAATAACAGTGTAGAAGAAGTGATAATGTTTTTTGGGAAAAGACCTTACAATGGTTGTATTAAGATGCCCTTGGAATTTTGGTGGAGAATTCAGTAACAGTTAACCATGTTTCTTTTTTTTCCCTATTTTGCTTTAAGTATTAAACTTTGTGACACAGTTGATCATCTTCTCAGTTCTAGTTTTATGCTTCTATATTTTTTCCATATCCTGAAATTTAGTTTGAAACTTAAGTTTATACAATTTAAGTACCTTAAAAACAGTCCTTGAAATTAGGGAATAATTGTTCAGTAATATTAAAGGCTAAGATAGGTGGGCTTTTGTTTGTTCTAAGACTAGCTTAGATTTTAACTTGGGGAAGAATGATTATTATACTTACCTATAAACTTAGGAAGTCAAATTCATAACATATGAAGAGTTAGTTTTAAAATTAGGTTCTTCTAAGTCACAGCTTTTATTTCTTAATGAATTACTTTTAAGATACTATATTACTGACAAGTTTAAGATAAATGTGTCATATAAATAATGAAATAAAAAAATCAAATAAAAGTCAAACTTCTGGTGTGTTTTGGCCTATGTAAGAGAGCCATGCATCTGATTAATAAGAAGACTGTTATCCATTTATATGCTGTTATTATAGTAAATTATATTAGACATAGATGCCTTTGTAAAACAAACTATGATTTGGCCAGATTTCATTTTTTATTTTTATTTACTTATTTATCTTTTACTTTTCTTAGGTTACCTACATTATTAGATGCTCATCGCAACTAGTGTAGTTACTATCTGTCAACATAGAAAGACATTACAAAATTATTGACTATGTTCTCTATGTTGTACTTTCATCCCCATGACTGATTTATATTATGATAGAGATTTTGTTTCTCTTTATCCCCCTCACTTACTACACCCACTCATCCTAACCACTCCCCCATGGTAACCACCAGTCACTTCTTAGTGTCTGTGAATCTATTGCTGTTCTGTTTGTTTTGTTTTGTTTTAGATTCCACTTACAAGTGAAATCATACGGTATTTCTTTTTCTCTGCCTGGCTTATTTCAGTTGACATAATCCTCTCTAGGTCCATCCATGTTGTCACAAATGGCAAGTTTTCTTTCTTTTTTATGGCTGAATACATATTCCATTGTGTATATGTATCACATCTTCTTTATCCATTCATCTGTTGATGACACTTGGGTTGCTTCCATATCTTGGGTATTGTAAATAATGTAGCATAGGGGTGCACACATCTTTTCAAATCGGGGGTTTTGTTTTCTTTGGGTAAAATTCCTAGAAGCGGAATTACTTGGTCATATAGTATTACTCTTCTTAGTTTTTTAAGGAACTTCCATACTGCTTTCCTCAGTGGCTGTACCAATTTATATTTCCACCAACAGTGTAGGAGGGTTCCCTTTTTTTCACATCCTTGCCAACACTTGGTATTTCTTGTCTTTTGCATAGTGGGTGTTCTGGCTGGTATGAAGTGATATCTCTTTGTGGTTTTGATTTGCATTTCCTTGTGGCACATCTTCTCATGTGCCTGTTGGTCATCTTTGTGTCCTCTTGAGGAAAAAGATGCATATTCAGGTCCTCTGCCTATTTTTTAATTGGGTTATTTGTTTTTTTGATGTTGAGTCATAGGAGTTCTTTATATATTTTTGGTACTGATCCCTCATCAAATCATTTGCAAATGCATTTTCCCATACTGTAGGTTGCTTTTTTGTTTTGTTGATAGTTTCCTTTGCTGTATAGAAGATTTTTAGTTGGATGTAGTCCCACTTGTTTATTTTTGCTTTTGTTTCCCTTGTCTGGGGAGATGTATGCAGAAAAAAAGAACTCATGCTTATGTTCAAGAGATTTTTGCCTGTATTTTCTTCTAACAGTTCTGTGGTTTCATGTCTTAACATTTAGGTCTTTTATCTATTTCTAGTTTACTTTTGTATATGGTGTTATATAGTAATCCAGTTTTATTCTCATGCACATGCTGTCCAAGGTCAGAGTTCATTTATAATTTGGTTCTATAACAATCTAAAATGAAGGCTGAAAGCAAAGTTCCTTCTGGCCATTAGTCATCCCTGTTCCATATTCTCGTTACTGTATCTAGGAACATGCTCTAAGGTAGGTCCTAGCTTCTCTAGTCTTGATTGTCTCTCCTCTCCCTTTTCCTTTACTTGGCAGTCAAAGTGATCATTTAGAAATACAGATCTGATCATGCTTCTTTTGATTGTCTATAACCTTTTTGATTTCTCCCTACCCACTGAAGCCTTTCCATCTATATATGCTGCCATTGGCTCTATGATCAAATGACTGAACAGTCACTTTGCACAGCAAGGGGTGTCCAGGACCTGGCACCAGTCAACCATATGGCTTATTGGTCAGTGTTGGTACCATATTGGTTGTTAAAAAAGCTTAAGACTTATTATTAGTTTTACTATTTTTAATATCACCCCTAACTCTGACAAATCCTTAATACATTATATTTAAATGATAAATATCATTGACTGTATTGAAATGATCTACAGATTTCCTCTATAAATTTGTCAAACTTAGGGGATGACTGTTACTCATTTTTGTATCTCCTGCACCTATCACATTAATAGGCACTTACACATTGATTGACTTAAACATCAAATTAACAAAAGAGGGTGAACAAATCTTGGGTAGCACATAGCATAGTAGTAAGCTCATTATTAAAAGCATAGTTTGTCAAATATCTCTTCACAGCTGCTCCTCAAGGTGATACTCTCAGTTACAAACAACTCAGAAGCTAAACATTTCAGATAAAGTCCCCAAGTCATTATGTGGTGGAGCTGGGGTTGAGCCCAAATCTGTCTGACTCCAAAGCCCAGACTTTTTCCACTATTTCAGGTCACTTCACTGCAACATAATATATTTATTAAATCCTTTGAAATTATTTAATAAACATCATAGCAGAACAAAATTCACTAATTAAACTGTTCAGTTAGTACATTTGGAAACGTTCCTTCATTTACTATAAAAAATAATACACAGTAGCCAGAATACATTTAGAATATAATTAATTTGATAAGTAACATTAAGAATAATTGAAAGGTAATAATCTCTTAATTGATACTAATGCTTGATCCACTTAAAAGGTAGTAACACTTTCACAATAATTATGCTTCAAAGCTATCATATTAACTAGTATTTGGGATATGTGTGACTAACTCCCACTGCTGTTAGTAGAAATTGTGCATATACATTTCACTGTGTTAAGATGAACACATGCCCTTAAGGATTATTCCACACTAGAGTAGTAACTTGTGGAGGCCTCCTATATTGTGTGAAGATACGTGGATCAGAAGACTTACCTGAGGAACAGATCATTTAAATGTCTTGCAAGAATACGACATTTACACTCATACATCTATATTTAATATTTATTTCCAATTGTCGGTGAAGTAGGATAAATTCCATTTGGAACAGGAAATGAATATTTTGAGGATATGTTGTTTCCAACTTTATACGTGCTAGAAATGATAGCTTTTAAAGCACTCGTGCTAGAGAAGCATCTTTCTGGCAGGTCACAATCAAAAATAAAATCCCAAACAAACCTCTTATTTGTGATCCAGAAACTTAGAAAGACTGCTAGGTGGATCTCTGTCTAATCAGCCCTTCATTTTTGTCTTTTGCCTTGTTTCATTATAGCATGGATATCTAGTTTTTAGCCCCTGGGTAAGATTTCATGTTACTTGGTCTTTTGTTTAGCACAATATCCTATTATAATCAGTAAAAGTGTATTAAGTATTACAATTTCAGATTCTCTTGTTAAAAAAATCCCAAACAGATAAATGGAAAAAAAGATGCAAGTGATAGTTTTTTCTCCGCAAAAAACTACTGTGCTGTTTGTACCTATTTTAAGGGACCTGCAGACAAATAAAAATCCCCAAATCTTAAAGTCGTTTTTTTAAATAAACTTTTTATTTGTTAATAATTTTAGATTTACTAGAGACTTTAAAAAATTCTTTGTAAAAATTCTATGTAAGTGGTATATCACATTTTTCTGAATTGGGCCTTATACTGCTAAGGTCAAAGGCATGACACTTAAGTGTAACAGTCATGGGAGTTAAGAAGTTGCTACTCTGATAACAGTGAGAAAACAGTTAAAAGACTTTCATTCAATTAAACTCAATCCGCAGGCAAAGATGTTAATTTAACAGACTCTGAGATACCATTTATGTTCTTTTGGCAGTTGTAACTCTCTGGGTGTGATCGAGGAAGCAATTACTAGTTTTATGCCAAGAATTCTGGATGAATTAAGAATTAATTAAGAAACATCCTTAAACTTGGCATTGACTCCATATTTGGTTATATGCTCTGAAGGGTTTCTGTATAATTAAAAAAAAAAGTGAAACCAGCCACCACTAGGTGTTTTTAGTGAAATAAAAATTAATGAAGTAACTTTACTATGTATAAACTATACCATTGAGAGATAACCTAAACTAACCTAAACTATGTGCAGTGTTAATTACATAAAGTAATTTGAGTTAAAAAAAAAACCAAGAAGGGGTTTTGTAAACAAAAAGTTGTATGTGACTTTTGAAAGAAGATAAAAATATGTAGATCTTAGTATGTGTTATGTATATAACATACGTTTAAAAAATTAAGGCCAGTGAATCATTCAGTTTCTTTTAGGATGCTAAATTAAAGTAGCCTCTTGATCTTTTTTTCTCAGGTCATGCTCTTAAACCTCAGGTTTCCTCTATTTTTACATCATTTTTGGATGGACTAAAAAAGTTTTATATTACAAAGGTAAGAATTTTTATAAAATGCTAAAATTTTAAATGCTTAGGGTATTTTGTTTCTTGCCTTCTCCCCCTCAAAACATGCCTATTACAATTGTGTTTTTCCATGTTGCTGTGTATATTGCATAATTATTTTTCATGTTGCAATAAATATTTTATCAGGTAAATCACTTGTACATTTAATTTCAGAAATTTTAAATTATTTTCCAGATTTGAAGTTCCTAAAATAGCACCTGCATTGAACAGTTTCATGCATATAACATTTTTTATAGTTTGAATTTTTTCCTTTGTAGTAGATATCTAGAGATGAAGTGAGTGTGGTTACTTTTGATTGGCGGAAATCCTTTCCTAAGGGATTATAGCAGCCTTATACTATTGCTAGCAATACACATGTGCTATTTTTTTGTTATATTTTTGTTGTTGCACGTGGGATTTTTGTTTTGGTATGTTTTAAATGTACTGAATCCAGGGAGAAATAGTAGTTGAGTTGATGTTTCTTGAAACTCCACTGAAAATGACCATTTCTCTGTATTTTCTAGGTATAATTTTGTGTGAATTAGCTGAATATAGTTATTTTGCCAGGGCTGGCAGCTTCATGGGGTTTTTGTTTGTTTGTTTTTTCTTTGGTACTTTGCTGTATGCTATTGAAATAATGGAATTGTTAGATGCCTTTATTGTAAATGTTGTAAATAATTTTTCCAGTTAGGTGGCTTCTTTTTTAATAAGAGTTTTTCTTTTTGGTGCAAAAGTTACAAATTTTTATCTTTAAGTGCAATTATTTAATTACTTCCAAACTTATAAAAGACTTCCTTCTCCAGAACTATGGTAGTTCCATTCTCTTCTGTCACTCACATTTTTGTTAAGTAGGAATTAAAAATGTTTATCTTCATTACTATTTGAACATACTTCAGTTTTATAATGTGAAATCTGAATAAAATTAATCTTCACCTCCTACACTCCCAGTTGCTAAACCTGTTGTGACAGCACCGCTAGCTAATCCCTGCTTTTCTGACATTGATTTGCCATGCCTGGACACCTTCTTACGTACTTTTCCAAGAAATAGACTCCATTTTAATGTATCGAATACCATACAATCGTTCCATATGTGAAACCTAGGGAAAAACAAAGCTCACAGATACAGAGAACTGGTTGGTGGTTGCCATGGGGGGCATGGAGAATGTGAGAAATGGGTGAATTGTCTTAATTTTTTTGTTTTAGTTTAAATAAGTTGATTTTTTAAATAAACTTTTGTTCTTGAAAATTAAATGGATTTAGTTGTTGTAGGTCTAGATCTCCCTTTTTTGCTTTTCAGAATTTTTCTTGTTATCATAACCATCATCCACCTACCTATTTGTTATCCTAGAAAAATTTTAGGAACTCTTCACCATTTTAGAAAATCCATCTAAGTTTTTACTAGAAATGGAATAAACCAATCCATTAATTTGTGCAAGAGTCAACAGGTTTATAATACCTAGTTTATCCATCCTGGAACATGTGTTTCTCATTTTATATATTTTCCTAATGAAGTTATATATTTCCCTGTAAGATTATTCTTAAATATTTTATATTTTAGTTTTACATGTAAGATATCCTTTGAAAATATTATTTATAGCAAGTTATTGTTGGTATGTAAGGATACTGTTGGTTTTTACTCCTTCCAGCCCACCCAATACTGCCAACTGTGTTATATTACATCATTTGGTAGTGTCATTTGTTTGTTTGTTACAGTTATAATTCTTAAGAGCTATTTGTTCTGTTTACATACCAAATATGCCATTACAGTTGACATCGTGGCATAGTTTGAAATGGAGTGTTTTTTATAGTATAGCTATATTTTTTCTGATTAACATGTAAAGTTCCAAAACACAATCTATAAAGAATTGATGTGTTTGAGCCCAGATCAGAAGGAAAAAAGAGCAAAATGTATTTTGATTTACTGTTTTGTATGCTAAGACTTATCCATAATAATGTGTGTTTTTTTGTAGTTCAAAGGATTTGATCCAAATCAGCTAAGTGTTGCTACCTTACTGTTTGAGGGGGACCGTGAGAAGGTTCTTCAACATGAAAAACAAGTATATGACATTGCTGCAAAATTTGGGTATGTTTGTAATGCCAAGAGAAAGTTAAGCTAAAGTTGTGGTATCTCTAAGTAGTTGTTAATGTACCCTTTTCAGTTTAAGCTTGTGGTCAATTTTAAAATGTGTTGGTTTACTTTCAAGATTTTTAGGAAGTTATGTTAGTATGTTGCCTTTACTTGTCTAATCACATATGATATATTAAATATTTTACTGTATTTTTCCATTAATGCTCATTTTATATTTGCTATCTGTTGTGCTAGAGTAAAACACTAAAATATTCATAGTCATATTATTTAGTGGTAATAGTATATGTATAAAACATGCTATTAGTATGCTTTTAAAAGGAAATTGTGTTGAATGAGAAGTATTGATAAATTATTTATACTGCACCCCGTCACTTACTGCTTTGTGCTGGTATAAGGAAACAAAACATTTCACATCCATAACCGCCTGAATAATTTGGTGGTTTCAGTCTGTCTGCTTGATGGATTGTAAGATCGACTGATGAGAACTACAGTGAAAATGCCATTTATCAGGACTACATTTTTTCCTTTTCCTTTTCCCTTTTAAGTACATAAACTACAGTTTTCTGGATCTAGTCTTTTTTTATTTCAGAGCTTAAAATGTATCATATATATTATGAATAACATGAATTTCTTGTAATTATTTCCTTTTTTCTCCCTTTTCAGCTATTTTTTATGAGAGCAAATGAACATATGTTGCAGCCTTGTGTCTCAGAATGCCCCACTTTTATGTATTTTTCTCACATACAATGTTCAGCCCTTCATTTTTACGATTTTCTGAGCTTAGTGTTAAAGTACAGTATGCTTAGAAAGATCTGAACTTGGGCTTAATCTTTAGTTACTTTTGTGCTGCTTTTGAGTATTACAATTTAACTTCTGTTTAATTTTTACCTTTTCTGAAATTGGCAAATGGAATTTTGATATTTTTTATAAAAGATGAAATTCATTGATCTTTTACTTTTTCTCTGCCATAGTACCTTTTTGGAGAGTTGCTAAAATTAGTTAAGAGTAATTGTGCTATAAGGATTTCTGTAATGAGTATGTGGCTTGGATTTCAGTTTATCTCTGAATTTTTTAAAAAATATACATGTTCCTATTTTTTAATTTCTAAGTTATGTGAAATATATATACAATTTGATTTATAAGTTTTTCCTTAAAACTCATATTAGAACCAAAGAGATTTAAATTAAAATCTTTGAATCTTTTATACATTAATTAAATCTTTTATGCATAGCTAGCCATAAATATTAGGGACTGAAGCTTTAAAAGTTTTTCTTTATGTATTTAGATGTTTAATTGGGATTTCAGAATTTTCCAGAAGTACTTGTGGAGAAGTGGATGCTATAATACTTGAATTGCTGTGTATAAGGTTAAATTTGCTTAGTTTAACCTCCCCCTGCCTGCCCCCACCTCAGAATATATGTATGTACACGTACACATAGAAATTCCACTTTGTAGAATCTCTAGTTATAATTATAATTCTTAGTAGCCGGAAAATCATCAGTAGTTAGTAATGTGCCAAATGGGGTTTGATGATGACAAAATGTCTTTTTGTCCTACTTTAACCACAATTTTTGTGGGGTGTGACCTGCCTCTGCTTGGGTATCACCTTTGATGCCTGGTATATACTAGATGCTTGATTAAATATTTGTTGAAAGAATTAATGAAGCTGAATGTTTTTCCCTGACATATTTTATTCTATTTCATTTACACCCAATTACTATGCTATCCTTAAAACTGTATTTTAGTCTTAAAATAGAACCATTTTGTCAGTTTGTTTAATTTGAGCCACCAACTGTCATGAACTCTTCATGTAATGCCAGTCTTGTTTTTCTCATGTAATATCAATCATTTACAATTAAAAAGTAAGAATGAATCTTCCATAAAAGGAATCCTGGTCTCTTTAGATACTGATACTGAGGCTCCAGAGCTGTTGATTTAATTCCAGCAATTTGTTGACACTGAACACAATTTGTGTCAAATTCATCCACTAAAAATAGGTTATAGTGAGATACCTAATTAAAGCAAGGGTAAAACATTAAAAACTTAGACTCTATAAGGAGTCTCATTTTTTTTTGCTAGATTATTTACTACTACTTGGTTATATAATAATTAGTTTCTTAATGTACTTTCATCCTGGCTCCCTTCATTTAGATGCAGAAATCTTCTGTGTTGAGAAACCCAGGCTGTAATTAGGCAGATGATTTAGGGCTATTTAGATTTTGTTGATAGTTGGAAATATCTGTGTGATTTTCTAGTAGAAGTCCTGGTTTTCCCCCAAGTTCTCTCTAGGCACTAGCTCTTTGTTCTAATCACTGAAAGAGTCAGGGATATTTTTCTTCTTTAAGATACGCTTTGCCAACCCTCACTCCTCAGTCATTTCGCCTTCTGCATTATTCGATAGAGGAAGACACCTCTAAATTTCCTTATGCTAAAGTTTTCACAGGTTAGTTTAGCTCATGTATTTTATTTTGAATTAGGACATTGTTAATCTTTTATTTCTTGTTCTATCCTCTGTTCCCACCAACTCATTAGCCTTAAATTGATTGTTTTCAATGAAATAGTCCCAGAAGTTTAGAACATTTTATGTGTTATCTTAGCCATATTCCCTCCTTGCTTTCCACCCTTACCCTAACACTGTTAACCTTTGAACACAAATGATCTAACAGGACATAATAGCCAAATGTTGCATGATCATACTTTAGTTGTTTATCCATGTTTGCTATTAATGTACTTTAATTTTCCTAAGAGCTAAGCAGGATAAAGATTACCTGCCAGCAATCATGACAGATGTATTGACATTTACCAGAGAACTTAGGGTAATAGGTTATTGTTATTTTTTAAAGTTGTGCGCTTTTGTTGTTTATATAATTCAGCATGAGAGTAATTAGGTTCACCAGATGGCTCTTTTATGTAAAAAGACTGTCTCTCATTCCTCTTTCATTAGTTTTCCCAGTCTTCCTCATGAAACAGCTTTAAATTTAAGAACCTTGTTAATTGATGTTTGAAATTTGTGGCACAGAGCAGGAAGTAGGGGGTGGATGTTGTTGTTATAACATAAAACAGTTCAAATCTAAGCATAGGTTTTTGACGTGGCTGCAAAAGTGGCAGATTAGAAGCATTTAATTTCTGAAGCTTTTATGTATTGTATCTTAAGTTAATTCTGGCTAGAAGGAAAATAGTTCTGAAAGCTGAAAAAAAAAGGGGGGGGTGTCCAAAAAGCTGAATTTGTAGGAAAACCTATGATTCAGAAAAGCAGGCCTTAGTAACTTTTCAGAGTTTATGAATTTAGAATGGGTATCCAGTATTCTTCCTGCTTTAGAGAAGAAAATGCATGTTTCTGTGTGGTTTGTTCACACTGAATTCCAAAATAGAACAGATCTTTCTCCACAACCTTCTAAGAAAAATAGCTTGACCTGGGACTGCAAAGTAGGACTTTTCTCATCCTGATGTAAGAGAGATTGACCCACTAAACACTCATACGTTTGACTTCCCACCAAATACATGCTTAGAATGCATCTTCTCAAAGATTCCCGGTGCTGGTCTCTGGTACCCTTGCTAGTCTTCACTGTCCTGTCCTTTCCTTTCCTATTACCACTAGGCCCTGAAGGAACTGTTTCTTTTTCCTAGAACAGTACTATTTTTTCTCTCTTGGACTCTGTCTGACTGTTTCTAGCTTCCTGAGGTACAGGCTCTGCTATTTTCCTCCAAGCACTTGACACAGCAATTTTCTGACTCATTTTCCTTTTTGTTCTAAAACTTTGACTCACTTCCCCAACCTCAAATCTATACACATCTAACCCTGAGTTATATTCTTTTTTTTCTTTCATACACTCTTACACCTTCAGCAGCTTGACCTAAGTTCTGTCTACTTCACTCATTAACATAGTAGTACAGACAGCCCCCTTCATTTCATTGTATCCCATCTGAAGTCGTAAATTAAAGCTGCTTCTGTCAAGTCATTGCTATACCTTCTGCTGATGCTAATTCGTGTATGTCCAGTATACTATTGAGTCAGGAAATGTTTCCTAGCCTAAAATAGTCTTTACAGTATTTGTATATAACAAGGATACATCAGTGTTTTAGTTACTGCCAAATCCAAGCAAAACTTTGGGGAAGAAAGGATTTAATTATAAGGTGTTAATTGAAGCCAAGAGAAATGATTCTTCCGGAAGAGGCTCAAATAACAAGCTCAAGACCTAAGTCTTAGACAACACCATGATTAAGAGCCCAGCATCCTTGGACCAAGGAGGTGCAGTTAAGGTATTGAGAGGAGAGACATAAAAGGTAATCATCAATTGTGACCCAAGAGATTCACAATAAAAGATATTTTTTATTTTCTCTTTTTTTAAGGGATTTTTAGTGGGTACTTTGAGATTTTAGGGGAGAGATATTGTTTAGTTGACTAAGAATAGTTAAAATGTAGTTTCTGCCTTAGGGGGAAAAACAAAATTAAAAGCTCTTCACTGAAGGTAGTGGAAACCAATACTCATTCATACTCTTTAAAAAAGTGAGGATGACTTTCACAAAGCAGAGTACTTGGACTGACGGACTTACGTGTTACATAGGATTAATTCTAAGCAGATCACCAAATACACCATTTCTATGAATAAAACTTCTTTTAAATTGAAATGTGCGCATGGTAAAACTTTTACTTATTTTTCTTGGACTTGTCTATATGTTGTTTCATAAACTTTAGTATTTCTGTGTAAGTATGTAAGGTTTCTTACTTAAGTCAGAAGTTCCATAAAATAAACACCAAATCTAAGTATTTCAAATACTGTGTGCTCAAGTATTTAGGAAACAACCTGGTTATTTGGAAGATCTTAGTCAGTCATCAGATCTTTATATATGAATAGGACTACAATAATATATAAACATTTGAATAAGAATATAATATGAATAAAAGAAAAAAGTGTTTTAAATGTTTTGTTATGCCTACAAGGATTCAGTTTATTTAAGCTTATTTTCTATGATTCATTCTCTGTTCTTTTGACAATCTGGGTAGAGTAGTTGAGTTTATATGAGTCAGCTTTGTTAGTTCTGTGGATAAACATTTGAAATCAATGATCAACTGAAATATTAGAAGTGTTTTCAGATTTTTGTTGTTTAAGCTTATTCTCTTGATGGCTCATTGATACATTTATCATGAGATTAAAAATATAATGAGATGCAATGTAATGTATGTTAATCTGTTAAGCTGTTATCTTGAGGTATCATCACTTTGGTTAGTTTTATCTATTTTTATTTGTTAATTTGAAATATACCAACAGTTTTTTTTTTAATTGCAGTGGATTGGCGGCTGGAGAAGATAACGGACAGAGAGGTTATATGCTGACCTATGTCATTGCATACATCCGAGTAAGTTATTTCATATTTCTCTTGTTAATTTTTGTTGAAAACAGTACTTTTTCTTACTTTAGGTGAATAAATTATTTTCTTAAATTTTAACCTACTGTAATTTAACACATCATTTTACATAAACTCAGGATTAGCTACAAATCTTCAGAAGCCCAATTAAACCTTCATATATGCTTTTGAGGCATTTAAAGGTGACCTAATAGATCATTCTGCTCTTTAAAAGAATGGAGACCATCTGGAAGTTGAGTGTGCCATTTCTAACATTGCTTGGTTAAAATCAAGCTGTTTTATTTAGCAACATTCCTCATTTGATTCATAATATGTTTTAAAGGCATAAATTCTTTTTTTTTTTAATTAAGGTATCATTGATATACAATCTTGTGAAGGTTTTACCTGAGCAACACTGTGGTTTCAACACAACCCATCACCCATATTATCAAGTCCCCTCCAAACCCCATTGCAATCACTGTAAGACATAAGTTCTTTCTTTAACTGTCTTTAAAAATTGGTGTATATCTTCATTCCAAGTAGTAATTGATTTACAGGTAGTTATTACTATATAGAATTAAACAAATAAATTATGTATATTTGAGCTCCAATATTTTTCTAATTCTAGATTTTCTATTTATGAGAAACTTTGTTAGTCATGTTAACTTTAAGAGTTTGCTATACTTACTGATATAGAAGTGTTCTTGTTTTAATTCATTTATTTTGTTTTTCTACTTTGTAATAAACTCACGTTTCTTAATTGTTTTCTGCTGTTATGGTTTTTAAAAATATTGCTCATTATGTAATTTGAAAGGTCTTATAAAATGTCAGATCTCAGATATTCTATTGAAGATTTGGCTTCCCAAATACCGAATTTTTAAATTTTTTACCTGTAAATTGTTCTAAAGGAAATACTTATATAGCTTATATAAAGTTTATTTTTACTTCTCTAAGAAAATGTGAATTCTCTCATTAAAAACAATTCAGTCCTAGGTAAGATCTAAATTTTAGATTGCAATGAATTTGAAGCATATTTGAAGCAGGGTCTTCCTGCCAACCCCCTCCCACTACTGCCCCCACGCTGATAAGGAAAAGTGTATTTGTTGCCTTTGTGCTATCACAAATTGTGATTAAGAGATTTACAGATCACAAAAAGTAATAGATGGTTTTATGTCTTATAAATGATGTTTGCCTCATGGACTGTTGCTATTCCAAGTTCTGCCATAGTTAAGCATTTTGGGTATATACAAAATTTTATTTGTTACGTGTTTTCTCTGAGTATATTGACCACTTTCCATTAAACTAGATTCAAGATTCTAGAAAATGAAATGTAACTATAACAAGTACAGCGTGGACACAGTCTGGAGTTAAGTTTCATAATTATTAAGGTTCCAGGTAGTGTTAAAACTGAAAAGGAAGTGAGAGATTTTTGTAGGGTAAGAGGGAGATTGTTTTATCTTATTTTTTATTTATCCAGTTCTTAATACTGTGTCACCAAATATGTTTACTAACTAAATGAATGCAAAAGGGAAAAGCACAATTTTAAATTTGAGGATTTTTTTCCTGACAACTAGTGGTAGAATTGAAGTGATTTGTTTTACCAGAGATAAAAACATTGATTTGTGTACCTTATAAAAATTTTTTTTCATATCTTTGTACTTCAGAGGTGGCTTATGAATTGCTTTTTCACATATAGTTTACATGTAATTTAATTCATGTATTATTAAAACAAAATTATACCCTGGGTAAAGAAATTAGTATTATGAGTTACCTGTCATAGAAGCATTATCTTGTATGCTGTAAAGTACATATTCCTGGCTGAAGTGCTTCCAGATGTTGAGTCTTTTTAGATACTAAAAAGAGAGGCACTATATTTTCTAATTTACTTTTAAAGAAAAGTTGATTTTAAGAAAGAGTTTTTCTTTTCATCCTTTCTCTGCCACTTCCCCTACCTACCTACCTGCTTCTTTGATCCTGATGACCACTTCTGGTATTGGTTAATTTGCTTTATTTAGACCACTAAAAATCTGCTCTGCTAGTATTCTCTGCATGTGCAAAGATAGTTCTGAAGAGAGACTCCATTCACTGGAGAAATATTTGAGTTTCTACCACATGCCAGGCACTCTGCTTGGTGCCAAGGGTACAAAGGCGAACTAGACAGACAAAGACAAAAGTTGCTGTCCTCTTGGAGGTTATATGTTATTCTTGGAGCCATTTTCCAGTGTTCTTATGAGGTGGACAGGAAAGGGCTGTGGAGGTTAAATTAGAAACATGTAATGCCAAAAATTACATGAAATAACTAACAATGAACATGAAATAATAATGGTATTATTGAGTCTTCTGTATCTGTTATAATTTCTTGATTCTTACATATGTGTCTTAACAGGACTTGGGTTTGGAATACTATATATTGGGAGAATCATTTGAAACTTCTGCTCCTTGGGACAGGTAACATGTAATCAAATGCTTACTATTACTCCAGTATGCTTTAAGAGTTGCTGAAATAACGTATCTTTATGTATGAATATGCAAACTTTTAAAACTATAAGGAAGCATTGAAACAAGGTAATCACTTTTATTTAAATTAGTATCTTCATTAGTATTGATATTTGCAAGCCATTTTTTTGGTTTGAGGCAAATTTGTCCATGTCTCATAGAAGGAAGGTATTATTGAAGTTTATATTTTGAAGAATGTTACTGAATGAACACTAAATGTTACTAAGTGGTTTTACTTAGCACTGATTTAATTCTTAATGGGCTAAAATGCTTAAATGTTCTCTAAAATGTCCCCCCAAATGGTAAAACCAGTTAACTTTCTTCTGTAATATGTCATAGTTTTTGATATTTGTATGTATACTATTAAGCAAGATCTTAATTTGCACATGATATCTGAAAGAAGTCCAATTTAAGAAATTTGTACAGTTTCTATTTTTAAATGGCATACACATACGCATAAAAATACTAGTTAAGGAATTAACAGTAAAAACTAATTAGGAAATGTACTTTTACTAAAAGTGGACTTACAGTTAACTCCTTCAGTAATAAAAATTCTTACTTAAGGAGGTTGTTAGTAATTTTTAATTCCAGTTTGCCTTACATTTTACTTTTCCTTTGTAATATTTACAAATTATTTTATCTCAACAATAAAGTATATAGGATATAATAAATCCCCATGAATTCCCCCTTTTAGATATTATGTATAAACTGTTTTGATCTACCCTAACTTCTTTTTTTTCTTCTCCCAGAAAACTTTCTACATTCTACAAACTGTCTTCATCTGCTCTGAGTTAATGACTTTTGGTGCATCAATGCTCATATTCCATGCATTATAAAATAATAACCTAATTTATACTATCAATCTATTATTTGTAATTTTTTTATGTTAATTTTAACAAGGGAATAAATCTTGTCACTAAACTTACTGACCTCTAACACTTTTGAACAGCAGATAGAGTTTGGCAGCTATTCAGTTATCTCAGAGGCCATTTTAGTCTTTAATACCTTTCCTTGCTGGGGAAAGTGGTTTAGTGTAATGTTACTTCTTCAGTGTTATGAATTTCCTTGTCATAAGTTACTACTAACTCATAATTGCCATTTTGCCTTTTTATTCTTCCAAATATGGAGGCAATCATGCACAATCTTTTTATTTTTCTTTATCTTTTCCTTGCATATTCTTACATACTTGTTTAATTGACTCATGGACAATATCTGTTTTATGCAGGGTTATGTATTTGGTTTGTTTTCATTTGAAACAACTTCTTCAGCTCAACTTTTAGTAAATAAAATTTAAGTGAAAGCCGTAAAAATTTTAATATTCCTGACGTAAAATTTACTTGTCATCCATTTAGCAACTTGCTGTTGTTTTCAGACCTTTAGCTGGGTAGAAACCATGTTGAACAGCAACCCATGGGATCAGGGTCTTCAGCCCTCACACATTATTAGGATGTTTGCCTCTTTATGTATAAGCATCGTAAGGGATTATTAGTCTTAACATTTTGTGTATTCCTCAGCAGCCCTAGCACAATGATTGCACCTGTAAAGTGCTCCATGAATATTCTGTAGGGAGTCCTGTGAACAAGCTCTGGGACATTGCAAGAATGCTGCCTATAAAAATAGCTAGCTAAGTGTTCTGAGATGGAGATTTAAAGATTTTGGGGACACCAGTGTGAGACTTGTGATTAAAACCAAGGGAGCAGATACACTTACAGATAATGTAGATCTTACAGATAATGTAGATAAAAAAAAAAAAAAGGGGCCAAAGAAAGAAGTCTAGAGAACCCCATCATTTAAGGGATAGTTATATAAACAAAAGCTAACTTAGGAGATTGAGGAATAATATTTAAAGGATTTGGAGGAAAACCAGTGATGTAAGAGAAGCCCAGGTAAATTTCTTTCTAGGAGGAAATGGTCAATAGTGTTAAATTTGCTATTAAGTCAGAGAGGAATTTAAAAGTATACACAGTTAACATTTATCTCCTATATAATGACTGGTCCAAATGGGCTGTATTGACATTTGTGCAAGTTCTATAAATGCTTTCAGAACTCCGTCCCTACAAATAATTTCTAGAAAGTATCCCATTAAGGGTAATAACCATTCTTTGCCCTGTTCTTTGTCCCATCTCCTTCTCCTCTGTATTATTACTACATTATTATGTAACACTTAAATTCTGTTTTCTAGAGTCATGATAAAGAACTTGTTACTTTGATGAATTTGTAATACTCATTAACTCCTGTACCTATTAAAGCTTAGTATGTTTTATTTCTGTTTGAAGTGTTTGTTTTGTAAGTTGAATTTTCAAAGTAAAGACAATAAATTTAAGTAGTCTAAATGCTTTGTAAGAGTTATTTTAAAATGTGCATCCTTAGTGTTCCATAAGTGAGACATAGATAGCATTGATAAATCATATTTACTTGCAGCTGTCATAGAATAAAGGAGAATTTAAGAGCACTTTTTTTGTAAAGTTAGAATTTATAAAATTTCCAGATACTACATTTGTAACAATACAACTTGACATTCAAATGAAACACTAAAGCCCTTTCATTGTTTATATTTTAATCATATATTCTTTGTTCTTACTGGAAACACAGATAACTTGTGTGTGTTTTATAAAGCATAATCTATTTAAATGTTACTGCTTTTATCAAGTTGGTTCTCATATAGATCAGTCTTGTATCTTGATATAAGCTAGCCTTTTGAGTTTCTTTGGTATCTTTTCTATTCTCATGATTCTAAACAGACCAAGGTTTAAAACAGTCAGTGTTATTACACAGCCAGGATATTTATATTAGAATAAATAAAGTGGCTTACATATATCTTAAGAGTTTTATTTTCTAGATGAAACAAAATATGTAGGTACGACAATATGTTTAAAGCTCATATTAAAAAATAATCTTTTATTGCCAAATCTTTTGTCCCTGGATCTCCTGCCTAGAAGCTCTGATTGACATGTTTCCCCAGAACATTTTCCTGATCATGTTCCCACACTGAACATAACACCACTACACCTCTTCTACCCTAAAATAAGCCTTGAAAATTAGATAAAAAAAACTAAAAAGTTAAAGAAATCAGATGCCTTCATAATTTATAACAATAGTATTTTGAAGTCAAAATGAAATTTGGTGAAATATGAATAGAGTGTATTTTAATAGTAATGTCTGATGTTAATTTCTTAAGTTTTGACAAATGTATCATGGTTATATAGTATCTTTAATTAGGGGAAAGTGGAGAAAGAGGAGCTTTTTGTACTGTAACTTTTCTGTATCCAAAGTTATCGCAAGTTTCTTTAAAAAAATAGATTAATATTGCTAAATATTACCAATCTTCCCTCTCCTTAAAGAACTGCCCCTCACCCATCTATTTTCATTGACTTTTAATATCAAACAGTTTAGTATAGCTTTACACATAGTTCATGTCCAATAAGACTTTGTTGAGTTGGAATTTAGCGTAGTGCTTGAGAATAGATCATTGTTTAACATTTGGTATAACATCATTGTTAATAATTAAATTATTTTTATATTAAGGAAAATTTCCTAGAAATGGATATAGATTGGTATTCCTGTAACCCACAATTGCCTTTTCATTAATATGCTCTTTATGGCCTTTTTAAAAGCTTTAAAAATCTTGTAAATAAATTTAGTTTTTAATTGGGTTTTCCTAAGTGCAGGAAGCTGTCTTCAGGACACTTGAGTATGCTCTTCTGACTTCCATCTTCCTTGTGGCAAAAAAGGAAAGACCTTTGCTCGCTTGGAGTTATGAATGGAAAGTTCACTTTGAATGATCAAGGCTCTTGTTCATTCTTGAAGGAAGAAGTATGAAAGTTTTAGTTCAGAGAATTTTTGACTTGAACGATGCCAGAGAAACCAACATTTGTTAAAATCATTTTAACTTCTTTGAAAACCTAATGAATTCAATTATGTTTTCTAGGGTTGTAGATCTCTGTAGAAATGTAAAAGAACGAATAACAAGGGAATGCAAAGAGAAGGGTGTTCAGTTTGCTCCTCTTTCTACATGCAGGTGAGGCTTTTTTAAATTGTGAACTTCTTTATTCTGAAAAAAAAACTGTTTTAATTAATGGAGAAGTGTAATTTGACAGCTGAGGAAATCATGTTTATTCCACTTAACAAGCTTTCCTAAACTTTGTCACTCCTTGTTAGGATTGTACCACTAGGATTTTACAGCAGTCCTAAGCCCTCTAGGAGTAAAGCACCCTCCCATCAGTGAGTATTCAATCCCATCTGGGCAGCATGATGGTGAAGAGCCAGACCTCGGAGCTTCTAGAATGAGAGGATTCCTCCTTCATTCAGCAAAACTATAAAAAAACAATAGTAAAGAAACTGTGTATTAAATACATCATCAGCATTGTTCTTTCTTCAACAGAGAAAAAAGCACTTTAACAGTTTTGTCAGTTGATTATTAACTGAAAGAACATGAAATAAATGAGTGGAATAGAAAATTCAAATGAAGATTAACTTGTTTATTTCAATAGGTAATAGGTCTTTCTGAAATAATGGAAATGTTCTGTATCTCCCCTGTCCAGTATCATAGCCATAAGTCACATGTGGCTATTGTGCTATTGAAATATGGCTAGCGTGATTGGAACAGAATTTAAAATTTTATTTAATTTCAAATAATTTACATATAAATGCCACTGCTAGCTAGTATCATTCATACTGGATAGTGCATGGTTAACTGATGATCTTGTCCTCTACAGAAAGATCAACAGCCCAAACGGAGGTTTTCGTGAGAAGCGGCACCTTGTATTCAATCTCTTAATGAAAACTTTTTGTGTAAACATCAGAAGATTAAATGTGTCAAGATTGAATTGAGCATTTGACCTTTTAAAAAATTATAGAAGTAATTGTAATGGAGAATAAAGGGAAATTAGGACAGATCATAAGAAGGGAAACCTTAAAGTAAATGATACAGTGGTAACTAGCACTTTAAAATTTATTTAACATTCTCTGTGTGTGTGTATATAAATGCAAAACTGCTTCTCTTTTCGAGTATGTGTGTGTGTGTGTGTGTGTGTGTGTGTGTGTGGTTTTCAAGAATACAACTCTAATGCTTAGAGAAAGAAGAAAAATCTTACAATATAGTATGAAATAAAAGGTAATTTTGGAAATAATATAATATCTTTGTTGTTAAGTGTACCATATACTGGACTCTGAAACAACAATTATGCTTCAGCAAAACAGCATTTCTTTATATTTCTGTTCCTGATACTTGTTATCTAATGTGCTTTCCCACTTAATCTCAGCCAGGGAAGGCAGACCTGGTTCTGTTCCAACCCAAGAACCAGGCCCTGCCTGCCAAGTTCATCACCATGACAATGTCCTGCTTTTTAATTTCTTTTTTTGGACATATGTAGGCACTGTTCTGCTGTATAGTAGTGATTTAATCCCTTTGAATTCTAAGTTTTCATTGGTAAAGTAGTGGTGATGCCGTCTACTTGATAGGACTGTTGTAAGAATGAAATTAGAAAGCATTGAACAGCTGTCTAAGTGCCATTGTGTTATTGTAATATATTTATATTAAGTTGAGATAGGTGATCTATACTATTATTAGTAAGGAGTTTGGACATTTGTTTTTTCTTTCCCAATGACAAATCCTCACAAAGGCATCCAATTGTTAAGCCCTCTTCATATTTTGATATAGCATGATAATTTGCAATTATTTCCTTTGCAGGACCAGAAATTACTTACACACTCTTTAAGCTGCTCTCTCTTCTGTGTTTTTTTGTTCTTTTCTCCTATCTTCTCCGTCTACTCATTTTGTATCCCTTACTATGATATAGCGTTTCTTTTTTTTTTTTTGTTATCATTAATATACAATTACATGAGCAACATTATGGTTACTAGACTCCCCCCATTATCAAGTCCCCACCACATACCCCATTACAGTCACTGTCCGTCAGCATAGTAAGATGCTTTGGAATCACTACTTGTCTTCTTTTGTTACACTGCCTTCCCTGTGGCCCCCCCCACCTACATTATGTGTGCTAATCGTAATGCCCCCTTTTTCCCCTTTATCCCTCTCTTCCCCACCCACCCTCCCCAGACCCTTTCCCTTTGGTAATTGTTAGTCCATTCTTGGGTTTTGTGAGTCTGCTGCTGCTTTGTTCCTTCAGTTTTTGCTTTGTTCTTATACTCCACACATGAGTGGAATCATTTGATACTTGTCTTTCTCCACCTGGCTTATTTCACTGAGCATAATACCCTCTAGCTCTATCCATGTTGTTGCAAATGGTAGGATTTGTTTTCTTCTTATGGCTGAATAGTATTCCATTGCGTATATGTACCACATCTTCTTTATCCATTCATCTACTGCTGGACACTTAGGTTGCTTCCATTTCTTGGCTATTGTAAATAGTACTGCTATAAGCATAGGGGTGCATATGTCTTTTTCAAACTGGGCTGCTGCATTCTTACGGTAAATTCCTAGAAGTGGATTTCCTGGGTCAAATGGTATTTCTATTTTGAGTTTTTTGAGGAACCTCCATACTGCTTTCCACAATGGTTGAACTAATTTACATTCCCACCGGCAGTGTAGGAGGGTTCCCCTTCCTCCACATCCTCACCAACATTTGTTGTTGTTTGTCTTTTGGATGGTGGCCATCCTAATTGGTGTGAGGTGATATCTCATTGTGGTTTTAATTTGCGTTTCTCTGATGGTTAGCAATGTGGAGCATCTTTTCATGTGCCTGTTGGCCATCTGAATTTCTTCTTTGAAGAAGTGTCTGTTCAGATCCTGTGCCCATTTTTAATTGGATTATTTGCATTTGTTTGTGAAAGTGCATGAGCTCTTTATATATATTTTGGATGTCAACCCTTTATTGGATCTGTCATTTATGAATATATTCTCCCATACTATAGGATGTCTTTTTGTTCTACTGATAGTGTCCTTTGCTGTACAGAAGATTTTTAGTTTGATATAGTCCCACTTGTTCATTTTTGCTTTTGTTTCCCTTGCCCAGGGAGCTATGTTCATGAAGAAGTTGCTCATGTTTATGTCTAAGAGATTTTTCCCTATGTTTTTTTTCTAAGAGTTTTATGGTTTCATCACTTACATTCAGGTTTTTGAACCATTGTGGATTTACTTCTGTGTATGGGGTTAGACAATAATCCAGTTTCATTCTCTTACATGTAGCTGTCCAGTTTTGCCAACACCAGCTTTTGAAGAGGCTGTCATTTCTGCACTGTATATCCACGGCTCCTTTATCATATGTTAATTGACCATATATGCTTGGATTAATATCTGGACTCTATTCTGTTTGAATTGGCTATGCATCTGTTCTTGTGCCAGTACCAAATTATCTTGATTACTGTGGCTTTGTAGTAGAGCTTGAAGTTGGGAAGCAAGATTCCCCCTGCTTTATTCTTCTTTCTCAGGATTGCTTTGGCTATTTGGGGTCTTTTGTCATTCCATATGGATTTGAGAACTATTGGTTCCAGTTCATTGAAGAATGCTGTTGGTATTTTGATAGGGATTGGTTTGAATCTGTAGGTTGCTTTAGGCAGGATGGCCATTTTGACAATATTAATTCTTCCTACCCAAGAGCATGGGATGAATTTCCATTTATTAGTGTCCTCTTTAATTTCTTTTAGGAGTGTCTTGTAGTTTTCAGGGTATAGATCTTTCACTTCCTTGGTTAGGTTTATTCCTAGGTATTTTATTCTTTTTGATACAACTGTGAATGAAATTGTTTTCCTGATTTCTCTTTCTGATAGTTCATTGTTAGTGTATAGGAATGCAACAGATTTCTGTGTATTAATTTTGCTGAATTCCGATATTAGTTCTAGTAGTTTTGTAGTGGATTCTTTAGGGTTTGTTATGTACAATATCATGTCATCTGCAAATAGTGACAGTTTGTTTTCTTCCTTACCAATCTGGATGCATTTTACTTCTTTCTGTTGTCTGATTGCCATGGCTAGGACCTCCAGTACTATGTTGAATAAAAGCAGGGAGAGTGGGCATCCTTGTCCTGTTCCTTGATCTTAAGGGAAAAGCTTTCAACTTCTCACTGTTAAGTATATTGTTGGCTGTGGGTTTGTCATATATGGCCTTTATTATGTTGAGGTACTTGCCCTCTATACCCATTTTGTTGAGAGTTTTTATCATGAATGGATGTTGAATTTTGTTTAATTCCTTTTCGGCATCTGTGGAGATGATCATGTGGTTTTTGTCCTTCAGTTTGTTGATTTGGTGGATGATGTTGATGGTTTTTCAAATGTTGTACCATCCTTCCATCCCTGGGATGAATTCCACTTGATCATGGTGTTTGATCCTCTTGATGTATTTTTGAATTCGGTTTGCTAATATTTTGTTGAGTATTTTTGCATCCATGTTCGTCAGGGATATTGGTCTATAGTTTTCTTTTTTTGTGGTGTCTTTGCCTGGTTTTGGTATTAGAGGGATGCTGGATTCATAGGATGAGTTTGGGAGTATTCCCTCCTCTTCTATTTTTTGGAAAACTTTAAGGAGAATGGGTATTACGTCTTCTCTAAATGTCTGATAAAATTCAGTAGTGAAACAATCTGGCCCAGGGCTTTTGTTGTTGGGTAGTTTTTTGATTACCGATTCAAGTTCGTTGCTGTTAATTGGTCTGTTTAGATTTTCTGTTTCTTCCTTGGTCAGTATTGGAAGGTTATATTTTTCTAGAAAGTTGTCCATTTCTTCTAGGTTATCCAGTTTGTTAGCATATAGATTTTCATAGTATTCTCTAATAATTCTTTGTATTTCTGTGGTGTCTGTCGTGATTTTTCCTTTCTCACTTCTGATTCTCTTTATGTGTGTAGATTCTCTTTTTCTCTTAATATGTCTGGCTAGGAATTTATCTATTTTGTTTATTTTCTCAACAAACCAGCTCTTGGTTTCATAAATTTTTTCTATTGTTTTATT